TTTGTAATTCTTTTTCTTCATCGTTTTTTTGCGCTTTTTTTCGTTGTTATCGCTTCATTCTAGAGTAGTTCTATCAATTCCCGTCAGAAAAGGGTACCCTAACTTTTTTGTGGACGGTGCCTTTAAGGAGCTACTTCTGCTTTTGGACGAGAAAGATTTTGGCCAGCTTACAGACCTTGATAGAAAAAAAAATTGGGAAGAATTAAAGTGACGGAAGGTCCTGTTTCAATCAAATGGTATATTATGAGTAGAGCAACGCAGTCCCACCATTTCGCTGAAAGAGTCTCAAGGCGTATTGAATCTCAGTGCCCTGTACTGGCAACGGCATCTGGTAAAGCTGAACGTGATCCGATCCTTCCATCCATGGTTATGAGGAGATCCGTGGAGATCTAAACGTCGTCTACAGTTCCCTGATGAACAGTATTAGAAGCATACATCTTAAATTGTTTAAAAAAGTTGGCCAATTATTGATCACAGTCTTCGAGAGTTGTTATCGTTGATTTAATGGACCTCTGTCACTCACAGTCTTGAGTAATAACCATGAGTAACTCTCTCGTGGTGTAAACATTTTTTATGATTCAGAGATTAAGGGTAGCAAGTTATTCCGGGACTAAAGCCCCTACCAACCAGTCCGCTACCTGAATGAAAGCGGTTTAAGGTTATATAAACGAAGATTGATTCCAGACTGTTGGGGCTTGGAGTTTATCCATGTTCTCAGCTGCTATATCTACAGGACCTTTCTGGACGACTATCGAAGGAAAGCATTCCAAAAAGTCTGTTCTGAAGAAAAACATGTCTTAAATGTAGGTGACACAGAGAAAAAAGATGCCTCCATTAGCTTTATTGCTTTCTCACATAAATGAATAAATAAGTACTGAGGGACAAAAAATTTAAATATATCTGTAGAGGTAAGTGATTTCCGAATACTGATAAACGTTGTAGTTGACGACTGGAGTCGGGTTTAGACTGCTGGTCAACACTTTCCTCATGTGTTCTGGACAGCATGACCTGGAATAAAATATTAAAGCGAGACAGCTGTTAAATCGGATTCCCTGTAAGTCTATTGTCTTTTAGCTAGCTGAGATTTGACCTTGGATTTGTCATGAGCTTATTAGCTAGAGTCTTGAATTCAACTCCTTGTGTCCAGCATCCATTGAGACACATCACTCCGTCCTTTTTTATCGCTTGAACTTGCACTTTCTTACCAGCTGGCGCCTGGAATCAAGCTCTAAGGAATCGGACGATCGCTTTCTCAAATATATAGGTATTCTCGGATGAAATGCATCACTTAACCAACTTTAATCCAGTCATTACACAACGCGTAAGTGTCGCGAAGGTCAAGGTTCGTGGCGTTGCCCAGAACGACCTTCCTTGTCTTCCAAGTTGCAGCTGCTGTCAGTACAGCTCCACATCCAGCCGGCTAAAATCATACTCTCACTACCAGACACCCTTGGCTGCCCCAGATCTGCTTATTCCTTCGAAAACTGGGATCTGAATTTTCCAAGCAAAATTTGCTTACGCGAAGGCTACACAACGCGCCACCGTAACCAGCCGGACAAATGCAGGCATTACAGTTTTTCGGATTCCGTTTCCCTCCGTTCACACATGCGGCTCCTTTGGTTGCACAAAGAGCTGCAATATCGAAAAGGATGTTGAGTTTGTATAGTGATATGGAACAAAGCATTTCAAGCAGATGGAAAAGAGAGAGGGTGGAAGAGCGCAGGCACTCCCATCGAGGGAAAAGAGTTAATCCAGAGTGGCGTCATTCAAGATAGCGTTTGAGAATTCTCACTTGACATCAACTCACCATTACACTTATAGTGAGTATTGATGATGCTTATGTCGTAAAACGAGATCATTTGCGATCCCAGCGTACGAAGGTATCTGGCATTTTTTGGCGTCATAGAATCTCCAGTTGTAGCGAATCTGGAAAGAAAATGAAGAAGTGCAACAGTACTTTGCCACACTTCACGATTTCATCAACAAATTGAATTGTATGAACAGATACTCCCGCGAAGACTGCTTGTAAATAATCACTAACGATTGGGAATCATAGTGCATAACGCTGCCGTACTCATAGGGAGTGT